TTGGCCAACCTGATCTACAAAGTCATGCTCTCTAACCCAAACATGGGATGGGATCCACACACACATTTTATACAAAAGTTATTATCAATGGATACAATTCCACTCCATTTAAATAATGGAATTCGGCCTCACACTTGTTTGGTCCGGGGTTCGAGTCTCCTAGAGCCCAGGTGAATGGAATGGTGCACGTCCATTTAATATTATAAGAGGTAGTGGAAAGGGTTACAGAGGCACATGTGGGGGGGGGGAACTTCAGTCCCAGAACCCATTATGTTCCTGTGTAACCCTTTCCACTACCGCCCACAAGATTGGTATGGGGGTGCATAATAAATGAACTAAACTGTTACTATAGCTTGAACTATTACAAGCTACTTCAGGCAGAGCATTTTTAGAGTCACAACATATCACTCCACTACCATTGAGCTTAAGGTACTCAGTGGCTAGATAAATACCCAATAGCTCAGTCTGTTTCGTGCTTGCCCAGTCGTTCAATCTCTGTGTACTAGACATGATCATTTCAGTCCCTTTGTGTGCTGCATATGCACAACCTGTTCTGCATGTGCTCACTCGCACAGAACCACCAGTAAAGGCATAGGATTCAGTTGGTTTGGAATTTTGATGATGACTATCAATAGCCTCAAATGTTATGCATCTCATGGTTTCAGCTAGTGCTATAGGTATACTTTAAACTGATGGGTGTAAAATGTATAGAGACCTGCATATCTTTCCAAAGGGGGAATATAGTGAACAGTTTTATCAGGATTAAGAGACACATTCAGTTTCATAATATTAATGACACTACAACTGAGCCACACACTGTAAGGAGTTTTTGTGGAGGATTGAGGGAACAGTCAGATTTGTTTAGAATGGATCTCATTTTAATTTGAATAGAGCTGAGGGGGGCCATTATTTTTCCAAATTTTGGTACAAAACGAAGTATTAAGTATTAAGTATGTTCTATCATAAATAGCGAGTAGTGTTGGTTCCTTTCTCATGTTAACAATTCTGACAGGTCTGGGACAACCGAGGATGATGCGCATTCTGTACTACATCTAGGCCTTGTAACTGTTAAATAGAAAAGCTAACAAGATGTAAGGCATAATAATCAACAACATATCGAATAAAGGCAATATAAAAGCCACAAGCATATTTTATGTTTCTTAATTCCCATTAATTCAAATTATAAATAGGCTCTTGGATAAAAGTTTACTAACTGCTAGGCTGGCGGAGAAGTAAATATTTACAAGAAACCCGGCCACAGGCCAGGTCACATGTTAATGGACGCATCCAGGAATACAATGGTCACAAGCCCCCAGCCCGAATATGGAAACACTCATCACCCAGTTTGTTAAGGACCGACTACTGGGACCAACTAAAGAGCCTAAATCTGTATTCCCTTGAGCGCAGGCGGGAGAGATACATAATAATTTACACGTGGAAAATATTAGAGGGGCTGGTCCCAAACCTGCACGCAGAAATAACATCACATGAGACCAGAAGTCCAGCAACGAGGAGGCCTGGTCGAAGACCGGGCCGCGGGGACACTAAAAAAAGCCCCGAAATCATCTCGATAACCTCAAGAAGATGGCCGAAAATTGGACGTAATTTAAAATTGAAAACAAATTGAAAATAAATTTTGGATTTTTTTCCCAAAACAATAAGTTAAGGGTTCTCTGATACGTTAAGCGGGCAGGAAATTCTCTTAAAGTTTCAAAACGTCATGAAAAACGTTAATTGAAAGTTTCCTCTACTAACCTTTCCGAGTAAGCCGGAGGACTCAAACAAAAAACTAGACAGTAAATCACTTTCGTGAGCCGATTTCATTTCAAATTACGTCCATTTTTTGGTCATTGCGCGCATACGAGCGAAAAGTGACGGTTATTTTTAAGAGGGCGGGTTGAACACACACGCAACTGTCACAAGAAACAGCGAATGTTGAGCTTGCCCGTCCTGCAAACTGGGAAAGAAAATGGATGATTACTACGAACCAAGAAAAGATTCAAATCAGCCATACATCCCATGGATTTGAATTAAAAGATTCAAATTAATGGGATGTATGGCTTTTACAATTAAAAATGGAGTGATCAGCGTCCGAGGGATGGCAATCGCCATCACGAATTCCAACACGGTTCCCTTGGCTATAACTTCAATACACTCCTCAACTCAACCCAATATGTCACAGAAAAAACTGCAACAGCAAAAAGCTCTTTGGCGAGACAGTCGGTTCCGACAAGCTCTCACCCACGTTAAACTTTACCGTTACTAAATGTTCATTAGACTGATTCACTAATATCCATTCACTCTCAACCTTACTACAAGTACCAACAATTTGAAGATCCAACAAGTACATAAGGTGCTACAATTCTGTGCTAATCTCTCTCTTAATGATAGTGTACGAACACACCAGATATATTGGTCTTTAAAAATGGTGGCTATGAACACCAGAATCAGCCACCTCTCACGAAAACAGCTATATTATATGAAACACCTTTATATACCAGTGGCCAGATTCACGAAGCAGTTACGCAATCACTTACTAACCTGTACATCTTTTCTCAATCTTTGGCGGATTTGTTTACAATTATTAAACAGTTACTGAGCTCCGAAGCGCCAGGAGGCTGTTTATAACAATAACAACACTTGATTGGGAAGTTTACGTGCTTGTAAACTGTTTAATAAATGTAACCAAAAGCGTCAAAGATTGAGGAAAGATGTACACGTTCGTAAGTACTTACGAAGTACTTACGTTTCGTGAATCTGGCCCCAGATCGTGAAGGCCCCTTGGAGTTTGTCAACAAAGCAAGCGACTATGAAATTCACGAACGCTAAGCCCCCTAAATCATCTCAAGATAACCTCAAGATAAGTCATCAGTTGTGAGTCGTGTGTAAACCGCTTTTCATTCATAAACAGGAGGTTGGCGGCTGGATTAACGAGCGAGGATCTTTGTATGCGAGGACGGGCTGCAGCCATAGCCCGGCCTCCCAAGAACACGCATACTAAATGATCGACCTGAACACCCTGAGGCCTGGGTCTTCGGGCCAGCAGCCAACCCCAAGACGCTGTCATCAACTTTAACATGCTGTTCATTCACAATAGGAATTTTATCAAATATAAATTAATATTATTTTATAATTGCATATTGTGTATGTAAATCGCAAAGAGGTAAACACGTGATGAATAATGTGAAAATATTCAACCACGAAGGAAAAATTAAAGCAGAATGGACTTGAGAGCTTTCGTGTTTAATGAACACATTATTGTCCCTATTTTGGCGTAGGTTAGGTTAGGTGTTTAGGTTCTGTTGGCAAATTTTTGTATTCGTAATACGTGGGTTTACATTTACACCGTTGTGGTTGGAAGAGAGGTCGTCAGCGAAACATTGTTCTAGAAAGGTTTGACCGTGATGAGTTGTGAGTCGTGTATAAATCATTTCCCACTCATAAACTGGGGATCTGACGGCTGCATGGAGTCACATTTAGCCTTTATTGATGTCTTGATGAGGACGGATTGTTGTTGTTGTTAAAGATTTAGCTACTCAGGACGAAGTGTCCATGTAGCACGGGCTATGGTGAGCCCGTAGAGGACGGATTACTGACGATGCTTCAAATAGGCGATGATCGGATTGAGCTAGAGGTTAAGCATCCTCACTCGGTGACATCAAACTAGCTAAAGACGACCTCTGGTTCGGTCACTGGTGGGTTCCCTGATGTGTGACAACACAGGTGACCTCCCAGTGGCTACACGAAGCACGTTTTTAAATTATTATCACATTAGGTACATCTGCATTTGTGCAGCTGCCCTAGACTATATGACGGGGAGTACAGTGTGTCAAAAAGTGGTGCTAAAAATCCCCATCACACAGGATGGTTAGTCATACAGAGGCATGTGATAAGCAGTCTGCACTGGCAGACTCTGGGTGCAATATGATAATATAATGAACACAAGAGCGAATAAGGTAGCAGTGGTACTGAGTCCCTATCCCGCAGGATGGTTAGTCATACAGGGCCATATGTTCAGTAACCTGCACTGGCAAATTTTGGGTGCAATATGAGGATATCTTCAAGAACACGAGAGTGAATGAAGTAATTGCAAAGCTCCAAGTGCCTCATGCCAACGGGTCTGAAAGATCTAATAACTGGGCATTCAGTGATGTAGTGTGGGAGATCATGCCACAGTTCCTGCTCACAGAGTTTGCACCTGGAGTGCTCAGGAAGCACGTGATATAGATCACGAAGCACATGATCTCTACAGTGTTGACGATGGATATGACGTCAAAGATGTATCAAATACCATCTCAAGTGGCCAAAATAAGCAATTAGAATTTAGATAAAACCTAGCATTAACTTCATTTCATAAATTCAGACATAAATTACATATAAGCAGGCAGTCTCTCATGTTAGCTGTGGGTAAGCGTAGCTCCAGGAGGACAGGAGTAATGTTATGAGGCACGATGGTATCGTAACAATGACACTGAAACCATGAAAATACATTTTGACATATCATTAGCCTATCATCTATCATCCTTTGTACTATGAGCATGATGTACACGCTGCCTGCATGCTCTTGCAAGGAGATACAAGTTAATTTCCACAACAGTTAATACTGACTATATGGGTCCTGGAGCGTGGTCTTGGTAAACAGTGTAGCCAGTCCACCAAACACAGCCAGTCTAAGTCATGCAGACAATACAATAGTTACCTCAACAGCCATCAGCCAAGGTGACAACAATGACCATGCACCATAGTGTATTCACCTAGTTGTGCTTGCGGGGGTTGAGCTCTGCTTCTTCGGCCCGCCTCTCAACTGTCAATCAACTGTTTCTACTACTACTATTTTTTTTCCAACACTACACACACACACCCCAGGAAGCAGCCCGTGACAGCTGACTAACTCCCAAGTACCTATTTACTGCTGTGTGTAACTCTGGAGCTGTTTATATAACTGTGTTAAATCCGTGTAGCTTGCCTGCAACATTTTCAGTCTTGTCTTCTGTCGACAGCTCGAGTTTGGCGGGAGAGGAGCCGGAGCAGTGTGCGCCCCACAGCCACATCATGTTCGTCAAGACCCACAAGTGCGCCTCCACCACCGTCCAGGTGGGTACCCGCATTTGACATTTGTTACCCGCCAAACACACACCGAAACTACGACGTTGGTATAAAGTTCGAACAAGGTTTAACACCTAACCAGTTATAACATCCAATATAGCAAGTTGTAACAACGTTCTAATACGGCATAAACACGTTAAGCCAAGATGTAACAACTTTATTACAAGTTGTAACAAGCGGAAAATAGAGACAGTTTCGGTTTGTGTTTCCAGGGTACACGTTCATGCAGGAAACAGTTCACAATAGCGCTCCTGAACAAATAATGTATCCCACACATTTGAGGTGAAATGAGTGACGATGTTTGGGTCCGTTCAATGCCAAGATTCACGAAGCATTTACGCAGTCCCTTGCGAAACCTGTACATCTTTCCTCAGTTATGGTGGCTTGGTTTAATTAAACAGTTTGTGAGCTTCAAAACGTAACAATCCAGTGTCATTATTGTTATAAATAACCTCGTAGGGCTTCGGAGCTCATAAGCTGATTAATAAGTGTGAACACAACCGCCATGATTTAGTAAAGATGTACAGGTTTAGTAAGGGGTTGTGTCAATACTTGATGAATTATGGTCCTGAACTTGATAAGGATCCAGTAGGGACCGCACTTGGTCACTGTTATGTCATGTCATATATCCATATATGAGGGTTATGTCATGTCATATATCCATATATGAGGGTTATGTCGTGTCATATATGAGGGTTATGTCGTGTCGTATATGAGGGTTATGTTGTGTCATATATGAGGGTTATGTCATGCCATATATGAGGGTTATGTCATGCCATATATGAGGGTTATGTCGTGTCATATATGAGGGTTATGTTGTGTCATATATGAGGGTTATGTCATGTCATATATGAGGGTTATGTCATGTCATATATGAGGGTTATGTCATGTCATATATGAGGGTTATGTTGTTTCATATATGAGGGTTATGTCATGTCATATATGAGGGTTATGTCATGTCATATATGAGGGTTATGTCGTGTCATATATGAGGGTTATGTCATGTCATATATGAGGGTTATGTCATGTCATATATGAGGGTTCGGCTACTTATACAGTAACATTACACTTATGCCATTGTATGTGATGGACGAACACAAACGGAGTTTACTGTATGTGTATTACACCAGCTTCATAAAATGTCTATCCGTTGTCTACTGTTGCAAAGCCAAGGACTTGTGTGTTTGGTGAGCATATTATGTAGTCTGACATTCCCTCAAGTTAATCTTCTATATATTATTAGGTAAATAGGTTATTAGTTAGGAAATTAAAGTTAAAGATTCAAGCCTTAGAGAGACTGGAATGTTTGACTATCGGTAAATTATAAGAAACCAGAAGATGTTTTAGATAGCTTTAAAATCGAAACTGACAAATCAAAAGTTTGTCAGTTTCAATGACAAAATTCAATGGACCAATTAAATCATTGCACATTTGAGTTCAGCCAATGACAGTGGCTGCCATTGGCTGAACTCAATCTGCAGTGTTGGTTCATTCAAGTCCTCACTGTGTATCCCGATGAGCCATAACTGTTTCTTTCACAAACTCCCTCTATGAGGTAGGGAACTCGTAGTCATGGAACCTCAGCCCAACTCTGAGGCCACCATTCTCTAAGCACGGACAGATAGCAATGAGATACTCAAACCTGCTCCGAGAAATGTTATGAGAAGTGTCTAACTACCATAAACAATACTCTGCCAGCAGCTAAACAAGTCAACCCAATATCATCTGCAAAGATATTTCGGTAAGATACATTGAAGAACAGAGTGCCAGTATGGTGCATCTGGTGAACACATTAGCACAGTGTAGAGATTGCTGTACAATAATTATATGTCAAAAGGAGCAGACGAGGCACAAGTGAGACGAGCTGTGACAATGTTGATGTTACAAAGAGGTTATATAATTTATATATTGCATATGGAAGAGACAAGAGAACACGGCAAGAGGACGGAGGGACGGTACCCAACCACTTGCACCATCAGGGATCGAACGCCGACCCTGGTTAGGCTAGTTAGGATGTTAACCAGCCACCTGGTTACCATCCTAACCTCCTCATATTTTGTCTTTCACTACATCAGTGTCCCTAGAGGATACCATCCTCTCGCAGGTAAGATGAGCTCATCTTACCTCTGAGTGCCAGTGTGTATAAGATGGTAATACCTGTTCTCTGGTCCACAGAACATCTTCCTGAGGTACGGATACACCCACAACCTAACCTTCGCCCTTCCTAGTCAGGGAAACTACCTCGGCAACCCCGGCCACTTTAAGGTAAGTAGGTAAGAATGGTAAGGTAAGAATGTCGACTCTTAAGTAGATATTCTCGCCAGATTCCCCTCTATTCGCTCTCTCGTTTGATAAAAATTTTGTTTGAAATCAATCAATCCGTTCAAAAAAGTTACGTATTAGTGCAAAATTGATGTTTCTTATGCATCGCTCTCGATAGGTTAGCTGGAATGCTTGCGTTCGTACGTTTCTGATTAAAACAGATGTGTTTGTTTACGGAGTGGCAAGAGGAGAGAAGGGGCTGTATTTACCTCATGATCCACTCCCCTCATCCCTCATGATCCACTCGCCTCATCCCCCATGATCCACTCGCCTCATCCATGATGAGGGACGGGCGTGTCGCGCCCTCATCCACTGTCACTTCATACTTCCTTAACCATCATTTGTTTGTTGACATCCAAGATATATGTGTGACCTGGAGACTCAGCCAAGTCAGCCTCAAAAACCTGGAAAAAGTGGCGATCGGGGAAGCCAGTACCATTATCCGGAGTTAGTAAAGAACAGTGGAGTCTGGTCAGCCATCAGGGCTCTGGCAGCCTTCCTGCCGTCACTTGTGATGGCAGCCCTCCTGCCGTCACCTGTGATGGCAGCCTTCCTGCCGTCACTTGTGATGGTAGCCCTCCTGCCGTCACCTGTGATGGCAGCCTTCCTGCCGTCACTTGTGATGGCAGCCTTCCTGCCGTCACTTCTGGATTCGAACCCAGACAGTCAGGAACACTATGCAACATGGCATGGGGTTCGGCTGTCTGGATTCGAATCCTTCTGGGGTGTGGAGTTCACAGTTACATATTGGCTTTGGGACCATTCAAGCGTGTTTGCATTTGTGTTGCTCACGTGGCCCCACAAAATGAGGTGTATTCGGTGAAATATCTATGCCCAAGCTTACCACCAAGTTCTGTCGGGTCGTTGGGGATATAGCCTCGGCTACCAATGACTTTTGTATAGTCACGGTGGTCAAGTGGTTAAGGAACCAGGTCCGTCATGTTGCATAGTGTTCCTGGCTGTCTTGGTTCGACAAGACAGGTGTGGAGTTTTCTTCTGGTCTTCTGGGGTGTGGAGTTTTCAGTTGCATATTGGTGTAACAAACTAGGCTGTTGTAAGAATTATCCAGAAGGTTCCAGAAGTCGTGTAAGGACCTGACCTTTCAACGCGCATTCCTCTGGGGATTAGCAAGTCTGAGTCACAAAATGGCGGACGTCTTTGTTCATAGTTTCGTATAATGAATCATTCTATAGTACTCAGTATTTTAGAGAAATTAGCCTTTATTCATTTTGTATTAAAATTGTATTGTATAATATTACTGGGTAGAATATCAATATCTTCTAATTATTAGGAGAATGAGTTTAAGTCACCATCAGTGACGTCACTATTCATGACTAGACCTCGGCGCGGAAGAATTTGAGTGACCTGGCGGTCACAGGTCACAACAGTTTCCACTTTCAGTAATTCTCAAAGTTCAAATAACCATTTTGGGGATCGGGAATAGCTCTTCCTTAAGAGGCTTGTGTAATTTAACTTCAGTAAAATATTTCAACCAATCTGGATCAATTCAGTACAAACAGAGGTTAATTGTTAAACTTAAGCCTTGCTAGTAACTTGGTAAAACTTAGACTATGCGGAAGGATACAATGCTCTAGTCTGGGGAAGACCAGACGAGGAGAGATTAGTGTGGGATCGAGATCAACTGGGGGAGGTCAACCATCTCACCTCTCCCCCCAAGACCAGCACTCCACCCAAGCTGGTCAACATAGAGGTATAGTTGCTATTGTTATTTATAGGGATAGCCAATTCATTGCCAAGTAGGGAGTGCACATCTTTAGATTTTGTTTTAGTTTTTCTTTTAATAAATTAATTAGTTAGTAATTTGTCTTTTTTTATTAATTTCCATGTGTGTGTTATATTTATGTGAATTTGTCCTGGTCACGTGGTCCCTACGAGGCAGAGTTGAATTGGGCGCCGATTCTAACATCGAATCGGAATTCATCATTCCCGTTTAATTAATTCCACACTCAAGTTCCAAGGTCATATGTTACTAGTGGGGATCAAGCCCCAAGGTTGATTAATTAGCATGATCGATCTAGATCTCGATCATTGCTCAGTGTTACTGGACTGGTGGTGGCGGCGGAGGCGACTCTAGGGTTTTGCTCAAAGCCTATGTCACGTCATACGGGTTGTAGAATCCTAAGTCGGTCAATCGTCTTAGGACCACGTGGCGTGGAGTCGGCTTTAGTAAAAGTTTTGGAGTCCCTTGGTAGAGAATAAAAAAGTAAGAATACGGGTAGAGGGAGTAAAAGGTAGGAAAGATCTTTCGAGAACCCCCCCCCCCATGTTACATTGGCTTGGGGACCATTATATATATATATATATATATATATATATATATATATATATATATATATATATATATATATATGTCGTACCTAGTAGCCAGAATGCACTTCTCGGCCTACTATGCAAGGCCCGATTTGCCTAATAAGCCAAGTTTTCCTGAATTAATATATTTTCTCTATTTTTTTTCTTATGAAATGATAAAGCTACCCATTTCATTATGTATGAGGTCAATTTTTTTTTATTGGAGTTAAAATTAACGTAGATATATGACCGAACCTAACCAACCCTACCTAACCTAATCTAACCTATCACTATAGGTTAGGTTAGGTAACCGAAAAAGTTAGGTTAGGTTAGGTTGGGTAGGTTAGGTAGTCGAAACACAATTAATTCATGAAAACTTGGCTTATTAGGCAAATCGGGCCTTGCATAGTAGGCTGAGAAGTGCGTTCTGGTTACTAGGTACGACATATATATATATATATATATATATATATATATATATATATATATATGTCGTACCTAATAGCCAGAACGCACTTCTCAGCCTACTATTCAAGGCCCGATTTGCCTAATAAGCCAAGTTTTCATGAATTAATGTTTTTTCGTCTACCTAACCTACCTAACCTAACCTAACCTAGCTTTTTTTGGCTACCTAACCTAACCTTACCTATAAATATAGGTTAGGTTAGGTTAGGTAGGGTTGGTTAGGTTCGGTCATATATCTACGTTAATTTTAACTCCAATAAAAAAAAATTGACCTCATACATAATGAAATGGGTAGCTTTATCATTTCATAAGAAAAAAATTAGAAAAAATATATTAATTCAGGAAAACTTGGCTTATAAGGCAAATCGGGCCTTGAATAGTAGGCCAAAAAGTGAGTTCTGGCTACTAGGTACGACATATATATATATATATATATATATATATATATATATATACATATATATATATATATATATATATATATATATATATATATATATATATATATATATATATATATATATATATATATATGTCGTACCTAGTAGCCAGAACTCACTTCTCAGCCTACTATTCAAGGCCCGATTTGCCTAATAAGCCAAGTTTTCCTGAATTAATATATTTACTATATTATTTTTCTTATGAAATGATAAAGCAACCCTTTTCTCTATGTATGAGGTAATTTTTTTTTATTGGAGTTAAAATTAACGTAGATATATGACCGAACCTAACCAACCCTACCTAACCTAACCTAACCTATATTTATAGGTAAGGTTAGGTTAGGTAGCCAAAAAAAGCTAGGTTAGGTTAGGTTAGGTAGGTTAGGTAGACGAAAAAACATTAATTCATGAAAACTTGGCTTATTAGGCAAATCGGGCCTTGAATAGTAGGCTGAGAAGTGCGTTCTGGCTATTAGGTACGACATATATATATATATATATATATATATGTTGTACCTAGTAGCCAGAACGTCGTACTCGGCCTGCTATGCAAGGCCCGATTTGCCTAATAAGCCAAGTTTTCCTGAATTAATATATTTTCTCTAATTTTTCTTATGAAATGATAAAGCTACCCATTTCATTATGTATGAGGTCAATTTTTTTTATTGGAGTTAAAATTAACGTAGATATATGACCGAACCTAACCAACCCTACCTAACCTAACCTAACCTATCTTTATAGGTTAGGTTCGGTTAGGTAGCCGAAAAAGTTAGGTTAGATTAGGTAGGTTAGGTAGTCGAAAAACAATTAATTCATGAAAACTTGGCTTATTAGGCAAATTGGGCCTTGCATAGTAGGCTGAGAAGTGCGTTCTGGCTACTAGGTACGACATATATATATATATATATATATATATATATATATATATATATATATATATATATATATATATATATATATATATATATATATATGTCGTACCTAGTAGCCAGAACGCACTTATCAGCCTACAATGCAAGGCCCGATTTGCCTAATAAGCCAAGTTTTCATGAATTAATTGTTTTTCGACTACCTAACCTACCTAACCTAACCTAACCTAACTTTTTCGGCTACCTAACCTAACCTAACCTATAAAGATAGGTTAGGTTAGGTTAGGTAGGGTTGGTTAGGTTCGGTCATATATCTACGTTAATTTTAACGCCAAGAAAAAAAAATTGACCTCATACATAATGAAATGGGTAGCTTTATCATTTCATAAGAAAAGAATTAGAGAAAATATATTAATTCAGGAAAACTTGGCTTATTAGGCAAATCGGGCCTTGCATAGTAGGCTGATAAGTGCGTTCTGGCTATTAGGTACGACATATATATATATATATATATATATATATATATATATATATATATATATATATATATATATATATATATATATATATAAAGGAATGAGTTACAAGTCAGTAAGTTTGGACATATATAGGCAGGAGAGAGAGGTGAAGTGAGGTACAATGACAAATATATCAATGGGATTAGGTGGATATAAATAAGAGCTGCATCATATAGGCCCATACATGGATAATAATAGCATAAGATATTGGATATTAACAATGAATTAGTGAGACAAATGTGTATCAATGATCCTACTCAAATTGCCCTTTAACTGATCAATCAAACATGGATCTAAATTATATGAACCACTGCTAATGTTCAAATTACATGATTTTGTAA